GTATAATTCAGGCCTCCTCAGAAGGCCCCAAACAAGGCAGGAGCCTTATTGAGCACCAGTGCTAAGCAGCTACAGCCCTTGGGACCATTCCTTTCCCTGAACACGATCCTGCCCGTGATGGACAGTCAGGAGTCTCCACGGGGGCTCCCGGACAGTAAGAGATCTACTTGGTTGAGATCAGAGCACTGATGGACCAAGTCATTCCCCAAGATGGGTCCTGTTTGGGTGGATTTCTTTTGGGAAAGATGGATCTCCTGAAAACAAGCCTGGTAGGGAGGAAACCGCTGAAGACTTGCTATCTCATGCACCTGTTGCTGTGTGACCAGCTACCTCAAAACGTAGAGGTATGCAGAGAGATGTGAGGTGGGGCTCCTTTGTGCCCACCTTCACCTCAGAAAATGGAAACATCTGAGGGCTCTCTAGTGGGACAGGTTGGACTAGACCCTCTCCTAGTCTCCTTCCTACCTTGACAGCCTCCGAAGTTGACGTTTACAGCATCCCCTCCCCCACCCCCCAGCACCACCACGATTGCAGGCCGAAGCACTGAGGGTCTGGCCTGACGCTGCTGGAGACCCGAAGAGTCCAGCTTTTGGTCTGGGGGTCGCCTGCTGGACTGGATAACTGAGAAGGCCATGTGGAGACAGAGGGGGCCAGTTGGGCTAGAACGCGGGGGATGAGGGTCTCACAGGCTCCCCTGGGCTTAGTGACACCAAATGGAATCTGGAAAGTGGGCCCAAACTTCAGTGCCTTTGCCCTCTGGGTTTGGGCCTTTCAGGAGCTCCAGCAATTTTGGTGTTGTTGTTGTTAAACCCAGAGGCCACATCAGTGTCACGGAGCCCAAATCAGAACCCAGTAGCAAAGTCAGAGCTTGGAGAGAAAGTCAGGGCCAAACCAGGAATGGCAGGAGAATGAGGGGAACTTCTTGCAGCCCCAACTCAGCCACCTGGTGAGTTCTAGAAGGACTGGCTTGAAGCTGGCTCCGGGCTTCCTGGGCCCTAGAGCCCACAACCTTGCCCCAGCAGGCTTGGAGCACCACTGACCCCTCAGCCCACATTAAGGTGTAGCCTGGCCAACCAGGCTGACCCATGGTGGAACCACCATCCTTCCTGGGCCTCTGCTTCTGCCCCCGCAGCAGTGCAAACAGGCCGCACAAGTCCCACCTATGGGCTCTCGCTCCTAAAGAGCCCACGGCCCCACGCCAAGCACTCAGAACACTGCAGGGCGCACGCACGGTGAGCCCTAAAGACACGCCAGCGACACGAACCACCTAGTTGTTGCATCTTGGGGGCCAAACACCACATTAGGCACAGGGATTAGGGAGGGGAGAGGGGCAGTAGGGGGAGGAGTATTGCCAAATCCCACTTCTCTGCGGCTCAAAGGTCAGATAGCAGCCAGATGGACTGACCGAACCCGATTCACCCCTCACCAAGGGCCCCCTGCTGACCACGGATCTCTGGACGCCACAGTTAGCAGGGCTGCACCTCCTCCCCCTGAGGATCCTGGGCCTGCAAGTGAGATGCCACAGGAATAGCTTTCTCCACCTCTGGGTGTAGGTTAGTCATTTTCCGGAGATGGGTTGGCTGGGTGGACCTGCCCAGCAAGGCCATGAGAAGCCTGGCTCCCTTGCCCAAGTGACCACCCAAAGCTGGTGATTCCAACTCTCCGCCTCACGCAGCAAAAAACAAAACCGACCAGGTCTTACCTGAGTCCATGCTGCCTTCATCTTGGTTCCTCTCTCGGCAACCTACCTGGTCCTGCTGCCGCTCTCCGAAACTCAGCTCGGAGCAGGCCGCCGCTGGCTTAAGATCCTTCAGTGGTTGCCACAGCCCTGCCCCCTGCCCTCTGCCCTCTGCCCTCTGACCCGCTAGTTCTCCTAAGGCCTTTGCACCTGTTGTTCTTTCTCTGTGTTTTCCCCAACCTCTCTCACCTGGCCATCTCCAGCTCCTCCTTCAGGCCTAGTTGAAATCTCCCGACTCCTAAAACAATTTCAGCAGTGATCAGGCACCCATGACTCTCAGCTCTGGCCACACACTGGCATCACTGGGGGGGGGGGGGGGGGTTTGGAAAAAACTCCAGCGTCTAGCCCCACCTGAATCCAAATCACTGGGCTGGGGCCCTACATCCACGTGGTTTAAAATTCCTCCAGGTGATTCAAATATACAGCAAAGTTTGAGAACCTCCCTATCTAGAAGCTGCTGTGCCCTGAGGTTGGGGAGCAGGTTTGTTTTGCTGTCACAAACCCAGCGCCTCACCCTACCCTGAGCGTCTATCAGGTGCTGATGAAACGTTTGCTTAATGGATGATGAGATCCACCCTTGGCCCAGCAGGTTCTGCAGGGCCTCAGCTGTCCTATCTCTCCAGCCCCACCTCTCCACTCACCTCCCGGCCACCGTACCCTGAAACGGCCGTGCTCTCTACAGGCCTCCCCCACGTGTGATTCCCAGATCCTACAATTCTTCAGGGCTCTGCTGAAACAGCCCTTCCTCGGGGAAGCCGTCCCTGATGCCCACTGGCCTCAGTGCCCTTGCCCCAGCTCCCATCCCCCGCTGGTGCCCGGTAGATTAAGTCTGTTGGTTGAGTGATTTTGTATCCAGGTATTTTTGACCCTTCAGGAGGCTTTGTCCTGGGCCCAGATTACTCTAAAAGGGCCTAAATTTGAGGGCATGGTGAGCTGGTGTGATCTGACAGTGGAACACTTTTGCAGGAACCATGACCTCTAAGCGGTGTAGGGACAACGTCATCAGTAATAAAGAGGGTGAGAAAACGGTCTCCAAGACTGTGCAGGAGTCCCAGCCTGCACACACTGCAGGGCTTGCTCTCACCTCTCTCCAGAAGAGTAAACTGAGTTGAATCGTGTCCCCTCCAAACGGTATGTTAAAGTCCTAAGCCCTGTACTTGTGAACGTAGCCTTATTTGGGAATAGGGTGATGGCGGTTGTGATCACGTTGAGGTCATACTAAAGTAGGGTGGCTCTAATCCAACGTCTGGTGTCCTAATAAGAAGAGCAAATTTTGGTCACAGAGATACCCAGATGGAAGATGGCCATGCGACAACCAAGGCAGAGGCTGGAGCGATGCAGCCACAAGCCAAGGAGCACCAAGGATTGCTGGCAAGCGTCAGCCAGGAGAGGCGCGGCGCAGATCCTCCCTCAGAGACTGCGGAAGGCACTAACCTTGCTGACACTTTGATCTCAGACTTGTGGCCTCCAGAACTGTGAATCAATTTCTGTTGTTTTAAGCACCATCCTACCCCCTCCCCCAATTTGTGGTACCTTTTTTTTTTCTTTTTTGGCCATGCCACGCAGCATGTGGGAATTTTCCCTGACCAGGGATTGAACCCGTGCCCCTGCATTGGGAGCTCGTTGTCTTAACAACTGGACTGCCAGGGAAGTCCCCTGTGGTACATTTTTATAGCTGCCCTAGAAAACTAATTTAATAGAGGAGACGTTTCGATAAGGAGCCTTTGGGGGAAGGTGAGTTTTGCCTCCCGAAATCCAGATTCTGATTCTGCAGGCACTTACTGGATCCCCCATCTGGTGGCTTGACTCCATGGGTAGGAACTGTTACTTCCCTCGCTTTACGGACGAGGCAACCGAAACTTAGAAAACTTGCTCAGTCACACAGAAGGAAGTCATAGAATGGGGGTCTGGTTTCAAGTGCAGGACTTTTTCCATGAACGCAGAGTTGGTGCTCAGAAATGGCCTAATTATTGTGAAACACCAGCAGATTGGAAGTTTAACACTGGGGTTTTCTCAGTGACACCCTGTCCCCACCTTGGTTCCCGAGACCCCATTGCACTCTCTCCTTCCTAAACAACGAGTTCACCTTTTCAGGACTTCAGATCTCAACACACACCCCCCAAGGCAGGGTGCAAGGGGGCTACAGCTTCTGGAAAGCCCAGCAGTTGCTTCTGGATGGCTGGGGTAGCAGAGGCAGGACCAGTCTCAAAAAAACAGTCGTGGCAAACTAAGAAGGAAGCCGTTTTTGAAACTGGGGTGCAGGGCCAGTGCTCAGGAATTGGAGACACCTGGCTGGCAGCAGACGGGTCCTGGAAGGAGTGCGGAATGGGGTTGTCAGATAAAATACAGGACGCCCAGTTAAATCTGAATTTCAGCTATACAATGAATAACTTTAGTACTGCTTGGGACATACTTACACTGAAAAATTATTTATCTGAAATTCGAATTTAACTGGGTATCCTGTATCTTGACTTGCAGAATCTGGCAACCCTCGTTGGGAAGGGAAAGGCGCGTTAGGGGGATGGAGAGAGTAAAGGTCCAGATCACAAAATGCCCAGGGTTGGAAGAGGACTTTGCTGTGAGCCCAGGAGGCCGTGTGAATCCGATGAATGGGGCACCGTCTGCCCACTTGGGCAGACCTATAGCACCTGGGCCTGTGTGGGGAGCTAAGAGGGCCTGGGCTAACAGGAAGGCAGACTCACCTCCAGAGACGCTGGGCCTGTGAACCCTGTTGACACCTGGAATTCCATAACCACCACCAGGGGCAGACAGGAGAGAGCAGGACCCTGGGGGTCCGGGCCACCAACCTGGAGCACCTCCAGTGCTTGGCGGGACCCACGCTGCAACCACGCTCAAGTGGAGGACCTGGGCCTGTGACCCAGGGGAGTCATGGGAGCGGACACGGCAGAAGACGACATGGGGACCCCGTTAGTGAGCAGAACAAGTTGAGAGCCCTGGGAGGCCCTTGCTGGGAAAGGGAACGTGGCTGCAGCGAGGACACAGTTTTCAAACATCACAGCCCCGAGGGCTGGATGGTGCCATTATCAGGGCTTCTGGGATGCCCATCTCCTCTCCTAGGTGCTGTCCCGAGGACAGGCTCAAAAGAGGGTCTGCAGGGTGAGCCCCTGTCCCCGGAGGGGCACCAGCCACCCTGGTACACTGGATGAGGCCCGCTTTTCCTATGGGATACTGACCCCAGGAGTTCTGGGACCAGGCCTCACCTCCTCCACCCTCCCTCCCCCACCACAGAAACACCGTCAAGTCAGGCAAGAAGAGCAAAGTGTTTATTTACACCTGGGTCTGTATGTGAGCGTTCCCGAGGGAGCCTGCCTCTGAGAGCCTGCTCCTTCTTGGCAGACAGCTCGGGACCCCAGGACACAGCCTTGGAGCCTCACCACCCTCTCCCCACCCTGGGGCCTGGAGGTGGAGGTCTCACTCCAGCCCCAAAGCTAAACCTGCTTCCAGACGGAGGCTCCTGGGGCAAAAGACTCAGGTGAGAACCCACGATGCGTCAGAGCCACCCGACAAACCCTCGGATGAGCCCTCACATGCAGCTCATCCCACCCGGGCCCCGGAGACCCCAGCCAAGAAAGCGGGAAGTGCCGGGGACGAGGGAGCCAGCGGGCTGCAAGCCAGTCCCCAGTGACGCCTGGTCCGACGGCTGGTCCGACGGCGGTCCTGACCTCACCGGGGATTGAATGGCACCCGGGTCTGAGCACCTTGGGCAGATGAGGAAGAGCTGGGCAGCTGTCAGTGGCAGGCAGGGGATACAGCCAGAAGCCTCTTCCTTCTGCCTGTTTGGGGTCCGAAGCTGTTTAGACACCAGATGGCGATGGCCCTGAACCCAGGCCCAGTGCCAAGCACTGGAAGCGGCACGGCTGGAGCTTCTCCCGTGGGCTGGGGGTGCCTCCTCCGAGGGGCCCACAGAGCGGCCGCAGACCCACGACATCGCGGCCAGGCCGACGCCCCAGCTTAAGAAGGCGCGTTCTGCCGGCTACAGGTACTGACGCCGACTCAGGGAGGGGCTGTGGGAGAAGCTGCTTTGCACAGTGAGCCTTTTCTAGTGTGCAAGGCACCTAAACAGCGGCAGGCTGGACGACGGGCTGAGTGAGGCCACAATGAAACACCTGTCCCAGGTCAGCAAGTCTGCACGGCTGAGCGAGCGGAGGAAGCGGAGCTGGGGCCTGTGGACGGGCGTGCGGGGGGCGGGCGTCGCGGGGCGCGGGGCGGAGGCACGTGGACGCAAAGGGGGACGCTATGTACACTTTACAGGGCTCGGGTAAACAGAGGATGTAGAAAAGGGGGCAGTGGAAACTCCTGTACAGTGGTGACAGGGGAGAGAAGGCACAAGGACAATGACCCCAAACCATGCAGACAAAACACAGCCTGTGCAGCACAGCAAAGCAGAGGGGCCCGGAGAAGGCACGTCTCCCCAGACGACAGCACCGAGATCCTGCAGGGCCGGCGCCAGGGTGCCTCTCCCAGCCACCCCCCTGCTGCTGGCTCCAGGCAGACATCCCTCCCCCTCCGTTACAATCACAGCGGAAAGAGGAGCCTACGAGGTCGGAGCACCAACGTCATGTGGCATCAGGCTTCGCAGGGTCTACGCTTCTAGAAACACACCTTTCTAGAAGGCAGCCTATTTCCCAGGTAGGTGGGGCGTGGCAGGAGGGCAGGGAAACAGGCCCATGGCTCTGGCCTCTCCTGCTCCCTGCCCGTTCATGGGCGCACTCAGAACGGGGTGGCAGGGCCCGGAGGTCCCTAAGGTCAGCGGAGGGAACGGACTTGCGCAAAGTCACCCAGGAGGGCGTGGCCCCTCTAGCCTGAGGCCTCTGGCCAGCCTGAAGCATAGCATTAGAGGAGCTGGCCTAGTCCCAGAGGAGGAAAGGCCGGGGCGGGTGCCAGGGCTGCAGTCCCGAATGGCCCCTCTCCTTAATCTAAAACCCACCTCAGCCCTGAAAGAGAGTCGCTGTAGATCTGCCGGGCGAACAGCCGTTTCCTTGGCACTATAGCCATCCCGACGCTTCCCCTGTTCCCCTCGCATCGCATCTAAAGTTCGCTTTTAGGTTTAAATGCATTAAACGCACATACCCAGCGGCACAAAAAGAGGGCTTAATTTCTTCATGGTCCCCCAGGCCCCACCGGCCCCTGAAGGCCTTTGCCCGTTATAAGTCCCTCGCTGGAACAAAAGAGCCGTCCTGACCCTCAGGACCTGGCTCGGCCAGGAATCCAGCAGATTAGCGCCTGGAGCCTCCAGGGCTGGGCGGGGATGCTGGTATGGCTACTAACAGGGGATGTGCTGGGGTGACCTTTAACCCCCAGCCTGAAAACAGATCAGAGGCAAAACCCCCAAAGCGGGAATCCCCGCGGGCTCAGCTGTGCAGGTGCGTGGCTGCTTTCAGCACCCACCCGCCCCTTCCCCACCCCCACTCCGTTCTACTCCCACTCTGGACTGTGTCTGATACATCCCAACATGTGCCACCCACCGGCTCCACGAGCAACAGGCAGAGACCGGCCCACTAGGGTTCGCTAACCCCTAGGCTACTGAGAACAGCTGGATCCACCCACTCCTGAAGGCATCTGGCCTCCCATGCTGGGGGGGCGAGGGGTCAGTGAGCGTCTCACCATCCGACATCATCATTACAGGAAAAGCCACCAACATCCCAGCAGGAGAACCCGCTGTTATCCAGCACCTGGGTTAACAAGCCCAACAGAGGTTTTCTCTGCCTCTGGCCAGCAACCCCCTTGGCTGCACGTTACCATCACCTGGGGAGCTCTTTAAACAGCTGGGTGCCTGGGCCACACCCACACCGATTAAATCCAAATCTCTGGGGGCTCAGGCAGCAGCATTTAAAAAAATCTCCCCAGGTGATTCCAATGCACAGCCCAAGTTGAGAAGCCCTGTTTCAGGCCCAGGAACTTTGGGAGGTTGTCCAGTTTTGTGTTTTTAATAGGTGAGAAATAAAGTGTATTAGGCGTTTATAGATAAAGGATAATTTCCCTCTGACAATTCTTGAAGAATCTACGCATTTAAGATAACTTGCCTAACTCTGGCAATTCAAAGTTAATTTTTTTTTTTTAAACACTTGCTGGTTCAACGAATTTTGTTGGGGCTCTGATTGAAGGCAAGGATAGCCCAGAGTCATGTAAAATGTGAATCTGCTCCCCACACCCCCAAACACCTCTAAACTTCACACAAGTTACTGTAATCCCTACTTGGTACAGTTGCCAGGCTTGGCAAAACCAAAACCCACATGGGGCACCCAGTTAAATTATAATCACCTGGGGAATTCTTTAAAAAAACAACAACACTGATGCCTGGGCCACGCCCCACACCGACGGAATCAGAACCTCTGGGGCCTGGGCCCAGTTATCAGAATTTTAAAAGCTTCTCCATTTAATAAAATGTGTCCCAGGTACTGCAGGGAACACCTACTGAGTCATTTGCTTACCTGAAATTCAGATTTCACTGGGCATCCTGTATACTATCTAGCAGCCCCACCCCTGAGAGACAAAAGCAGAACCCTCCACCGGAAAACAAAGGAAGGAGAAAACACAGGAAGAGAGCACGTTCTGCCCCACCTGGACCAGTCAGTCCAGCTCTGGAACCTGCCCAGAGGCTGTGGGGCTGGGACCCCTCCGGCATCTGCCCCCCTCAGGCTAAAAAGCTACAGGCTCTTAAAAAGCCAATCTGATACATTCTGGCTGAAGTGAGAAGGTTAGATTTAACATGGGGCGTGTGTTAAGTGGAACTCAGTCTCATTTTACAGTCAGCCCGTTCCAGAGACCAGGTCCCGAGGGGCCTTCCCGACTAGCGCTTCCCGCGGGAGTCCGCTCCCGTGGCGCCCCCTGCAGGCTGACAGCTTTTTCCACCGCTTTCCCCTTGGCGGAGATTCCTTCCCACATTGTGACTTTATTAACTCAGGCCTCTGCGGCCTCCCCTGGAATTCCACAGCAGGGCGGCTAACACATCAAAATGCTCATCCCTGGGGCGAGTCCCCCACAGACCGGGATCCGGATCCGGCTGGCCTCTCCGCAGGATGCCTCCCCATATAAAAGCCAGACCAAAGCCACCTCGTGATTCATCATCTTTCCTGTCCTTTAACTCATGCCATTCCTTCCTACTAGCAAATTCTCAAGAGACCCACTCCTCGTGCCTTCTTTCCACCGCTGCTTCTGCCCAGACCCCTGGGGGGCCCAAGGAGACCAGTGTCCTTAGGGGGTTGAGAGACTCCCAGGAGACTGACCCCTGCCCTCATCCTCCTGGTGTGCGCGGCCCCAAAGTCCTGGATCAGACCAATGCAGCCCCATGATTTGCTGCAGGAAACAAATCCCATGCATACGCTTAGAAAGAAATCACGAACTCCAACAAGAGCAAACGTTGGCTGGAATGGGATGAACATCAGTCCCGGCCACAGCCCTGCTCTGTGAGCGGGAACACACTCGAGGCCCTAGGTCCCCTCTTCACCCTCTCCTGCCCTCTCTCCTTTGCATACACCCCTCCCCAAGATGCCCAAGCTTTCCTGTTCACACTAGGAGTGCTGAAGGAAACAAGAAACTGCAGGGGGGAAAATAAGACCATACGTTGTTCATATGTATTTGGATTAAGGAAACAATTCACAAGCCATACAAAACTGAGACACATTGGAAAACTCAAAGGGAAGTACCGTATCTACTCCCAGCCACCTAGAACAAAACATCACATGAAAGATCCAGAGGGTGAATTTCCACCATGTGTCACCAGGATGGAAGACTAAGGTTTCCCTGCAACTTCCCCAACCGTCTCTCCCACCAGCACAGCATTTGTTCCCCTGGCTGAGACCCAAGTACAGGTGTGTTTCTAAAGGCTGGAACACGGGGCCCTCGCCACCCAACTGAGCCGAGCCCAGAGCTTGGATTCTGAAAATCCAAACCCAAGGCCATCACCAGGGACAGGTAAGCAAGGCCCACTTCTAGCCCGAGGGAGCTTTCGAGAGGGTCCATCCATGCCCTCTCTTAAAAGGCATCCACAGGAAAGGATGCTGACAGGGACCTGAGCGTGCTCCCGCCCGAAAATCGTGTCTTTGGTTGCCCAAGGCCAACGCGTGCCTTAGACTGTCCCCAGCCTCCTTCCCCCTTTCTTTTAACCCTTCATGTACCCAGGTGAACGCTGCTCATTTTTCAGTGTCTTAAAAAACAAAAAAGACAGAGAGGGAGAGGTAGGTGAGCAGGGATGGAGAAGTTTGCGGGGAACTCTCAGAACGCCAAGAGTTCTCAGGATGAAGGTCGCCCCCTCCAGCTCCTCCACAAACCTGAGTCCTTGGGGCACACTGTGCACAAGCCTCACACGGGCTGCCGGCTGGGGGTGGGGGGGCTCGTGAGGGGCCCCTACACGTTCCCCCCATATGCATATGCTCCTTCTTCCTCTCCGAGCTCAAGCACCTGGGCCTGAAAAGTGGCCGAAGAGGTTGGTGAGGCATTTGAACTCCTGGAAAAGATGGTAATTTTGCTCCCACTCCCAGGGGGAAACAGGGATGCGGTGTTAGATCCTGTCTCACTGGAGTACTTTTTAATCCTGGTCCCCAGAGGTAGAATCATTTTATCCAGTATCTGAAACACAAGCCTCTAGCTCTCATCATTACAGTAACTCCTGACCGCCGACCTCACCCCCGCCCACCTCGGGGACCCTCTGCCCCACGCAAAGGGACCACAAAGTGCAAGGACGGCTAACAGCACAGATGGCGCCCGCGGCCACGGCCCACGCTCGCCCCTTGCTGTGCGCATGGCCTCCCCACATACACACCAGTACACATTACACCGCCGTGGCCAGAGACACATTTACAGTGCGCGTGGGAGCCCGGCCTGGGCCGCATCCTCAGGCAGGATCTGGCCCTTAATCCCGGGGTCCAGGGGTCCCGAGGCCACTCTGCAGCCAGGCCCCTTGTCTCAGTGTTTGATCTCGAGGATGGAGGGATTGTGGTCCAGGATGGCAAGGATAATCTTGTCCATGTACTGCCTCAGCCGGAAGTTGATCTCCTCCTGCTCTTTTAGGGCTTCCATGAGCTGAAGGGAACGAGAAAGAGAGGTCAGAGGCCGGGCCGGGGCTGGGGTGTGGGCAGAGCCAGTGCCCCAAGACCAGCCTCAGCGCTCGGAGCCAGGGCATGAGTCTAGGGCATCACACCCAGGGAGGGTTAAATACGAAGAGGCCCAGGCCACACCCTCAGAGAGTATCATATCACTGGCCCACGGAGGAGTCCAGGTATGGGTGATTTTCTGATAAAGGGAGAGAACACTGGCCAGAGGCATTTATAATCAGGAGTGACATCCAAAGTCCTTAAGACTGCCAGCTGTTTCCTCTGCCTGGAACGTCCCTCTCACCACCCTCCGGCCCTGCCGTTGTCCTTCTCCAGGTCAACTCCTGCCGTGTCCTTTAGGCTGTAACTGAAATGCTGCCTCTGCCTGCAGGCTGGAGGCTGGTGCCCGGCTCACATGGGAGCTCCTTGAGGCCCAGGGGCCAGCTCTTAGCTGTGTGTCCCAAGCACAGGGTAAGGGTTCAGTGACTCATGATTCGTGTTGAAATCTAATCTGGGTATTTCGGAGGCCTGATCTTTCATAAGCACACCCCAGTGGGGCAGAAAGAGTGGGCTTTGCAGTTAGAGACCTGGGTCCCTCTCCCTCCGTAAGTTGGGTGATCTTGTGTCCTGATCTCCCGATCTGTGACAGGCAAGTGTTCAGAAAGCCTTCGAGTTCTCAGAAAATTAAGCCAAGACATACCGCAAGCAGGTGGCCAAGAAATGCTAGCGTCCTTCCCCTCTTGACTTGGGGGAGGGGTCGTCCAGCCTCCCCTGGATTATAAGTTGATGAAATCAACTGGCCATTTCGGCATGTTCCTGGCAGAGCGAAGACTCAAAACTCCGTTCCGCTCCCAAACCCATATGATCCTCCCACCACGTACAGGAAATCAGAGCGGATTTAACTCCACCTGCAGCCTCCTTGCCTCACCGCTCTACCCTGTCACTCGGGGTCACTGCAGATGGGGACTTCGAGGCAGCCTGAGGCTTGTCATCGAGACAGGCGAGATGGGGCAGGACAGATGAGCAGCCAGGCTCCACGGCGAGAGCTGCTGGGCACATTACCTCATCACGAGAGGCCGTGTCTATTTCCGCAGCCAGCGACTGGGCTTTGGTCTGGGTGGCAAAGAGGTTCTTCGCTTCGTAGAGGCTGAGGCTCAAGATCTGCCCGTTCAAGTCGTCGTTCTGGTCCCGTAGCTTATGATTCTCCTGGGGAGGGGGACAAAGGCGATACCAACTCCCACCGGAACCCACTTCTCCGCATCCGCTGCTCCCTGACTGCCACCAGCACCCTCTCCACCCCTTGGACGTGTGTCATGGCCCGTCCAGGACACCCACAGATGACGGGGCGTCTGCCACGCTTGAGGGGAAGGAGAGCTGGGTCCCGGGAGGTCGTGGGGTTCTGAGGAGGAGTTAACAGCCCTGCTCAGGGAGCCAAGTTTCCAGACAGGGGCATGGCTCCAGGCCACCCCTTCCTCCCTGGAAGTGGGTGAGCCAGAAGAGGGGCCCCGCCCACCCAGTGGCTCCTTCTCCAACACTGGCCCTTGGTGAGGAGGAGTGATGCTCTAGATCTCTGGGCTGACAGGTCAGCTCATCTCCGTGGCTCCTCCTGCAGCCGGGCTCAGGAATCCCACTCTTGGGAGTTCTTTCCAGGGGCACCCTCGCTCCTGAGTACAGCAGGCCCAGTACTGTCCTGCCCAGACCCTGGTGACCAGCCCTGCACTCCAGCTTTTGCCTCGAGGCTCCTAACTGCTCACACTTGGGGCCTAGGGCGCCCCCTCGTGGCTGAGAAGGGCTGGGGTTTAGGATTGCTGTGGGAGCAGAACCTCCAGCACCTCTGCTTCCAGGGGTCGGTTGGGGGGTGGTCAACTCAGAGTCCCTGCGTGTGGGCTTCCCGCACCATCACGCCCTCGCTGGGTCACTGCCCTACCCTGATCCCGCTTCCCCCACCCCCAGCTGGTCTCCGATCATGGGAGTGCTTCGGGAAACCATCTGAAAAGGAATCCTGGGCGCGGGGTCTGCTCCTGGGAGAACCCAACGCAGCGAGGCACTACTGGGTGGCTGGGTAGAGTCTCCTCCCACACCCCACGCGCCCAGGACAGAAGACTCGTGTCTGCTTCTTTTCACAGATGCTGAGCAGAGCCCCTGGGATTTCCATCTGCCTCGGCTGAGCCGTGAGACAGGGACCAGCAGCCCTGACAACGAGGGTGTCGGGAAGTTTTGTCGGGGAAGGGAGCGCTACGGCTCTCAGCCCCTTACAGGAGACCCACCCGGAGGGGACCTGGACACCTTACCCCGTGGGCCAGAGGCTCCCGGGGCCCACCTGCTTGAGTCGCTTGACCTCATGCTCCAGCTCCACCTCTCGGGCCCTGGCATTGAACTCGCCCAGGCTGGAGGACGAGCCGCGGCCCCTGCCCGGCCGCTCGCAGTCCAGCTTGTACATCTGCAGGTGCTCCAGCTCCTTGCGCAAGTCCTCGATGAGCTGCGGGGGCAAGAGGCTGGTTGGCGGGGGGCATGCGGGGGGGGTGGGGCGGGAGCCCTGGCACCTGCCGCCCCGGGACCGACCTCCTGCGTCGCCTCCCGCTCCTTCTGGAACTCAAGGCGGTTCTGCCGCAGCTTGTCCATCATGCGCTTGTACAGGTCCATCTCATCCTTGAGCCGCAGGCTGGTGTCCTCCAGCCGGTCGGACATGCGCTGCCGCTCCTGGAGCGGGGGAGACCGGGGCAGGGGGAGAGTTCCCAGGGGGCCTGCTGTGCCCCAGGGCTTTGCTGGGGGCCGGGGCAGCCACCTCGACAAATGGGCCATCAGATCAGCCCCTTGAACAGAGCCCTCCGAGGCACGGATTAAAGAAATGGCCAGATCCCCTAGGAGTCTAGAGACACAGCTAGAAAAATCTCCGGTCTCTGAAGCCCTTCAATGATGCCAGATGGACCCGAATAAGAAGGTAAGACGCCCTGGACTTCCCTGGTGGCGCAGTGGTTAAGAATCCGCCTGCCAATGCAGGGGACACGGGTTTGAGCCCTGGTCTGGGAAGATCCCACATGCCGCGGAGCAACTAAGCCTGTGAGCCACAACTACTGAAGTCTGTGCAACTAGAGCCCATGCTGCGCAACAAGAGAAGCCACCTCAATGAGAAGCTGGCGCACCACAAGGAAGAGTAGCCCCTGCTCGCTGCAACTACAGAAAGCCCGTGCGTGGCAACAAAGACCCAATGTGGCCAAAAATAAATAAATAAAATAAATTTTTTAAAAAAGAAGGTAAGACCCCAAACAGAAGCTAACCTCTTTCTTTTTTTTTTATTATTTCCCCCTGTAATACAAGGAAATAGATATTCACTATAGAAAACTTGGAAAATAAGAAATATGGAAAAATGAATGATTATTCATGTTTGATGCCTTTTTTTTTTTTTTTTTGGCTACAGCAATTTTATTAGAATTCCAGAAACTAGAAACTAAAGGCCTCGGATGGCCAATGCAGCCTCTCTGTGGATTTGGCTCAAGATCCAAGTCTGAGCGACGCCTGGACCTGCTGCTTACCTCATCCAGCCTCTCTGCTTGTGACTTCAGCCGAGTCGCTGTCGTCCTAAGCTCGGTATTTTCTCCCTCTAATTGCTGCACCCTGGGGAGAGGGGGACAAGAATGTCAAAAATGGAGATTCCCTTACAATTTGACAGTCTGCAGCAATTCTCCGCTCCCTGGAGGGTACATGCCAGAAATGAGAGAGAGAGAGAGAGACAGAGAGACAGAGAGACAGAGAGAGAAAGAGAGGGAGAATATGAATAATTGTTCCAAATGGTAATATGGCTTTGAGCTTCCTGTCATCCAAGGCAAAATGGTAAAGACCCTGAGTTATTATTATTTTTGGATAAAAGGAAACACTCATTTGTGAATGAATAGGAACATAAGGTCCTTTCTGCATACTGCTTAGGGCCTGAAACACCCCCGGGGTTGGGGAGGGGGTAGGCAGTGGTATTCTTCTGCTAATGGAGAGAGTCCTCCTGTGGCATCTGGGGCAGGGCCCTCCCTTTAGGATTCACCATTGGAAGGCAACCTTCTCCCCCGCATCTCCCCCCAGGGCTCTGCCCTCCAAGCGCTTGCTGCAGCTGCCTCTGACGCCCACGGGCAGTGGTTCCTCTGTGTTAACGTTCACCAGGGACTGTCCAGGTCAGTTTTCAGTGACCCGAGAAGAGGGGTAGGTGAGTTGGGCCGTTGGCCAGTGGCACCAGAACAGTACTGGGCCATTTCTGGTAGAGCATTCCCTCTCCTTCCCACTGTCATGTCGTCCTTCATGGAGAGAGGGCTTCCTGGCCCCCGCTGCCCTCTGGGCTCCCCAGGAGAAGCCCCTGGGCCAGGGCCTAAAGGGGATTCAGACCACCCCCCCCCCCCCCGACGAGGCCACCTCTCTTGAGGCACAAGAGAGGCCACCTCTCTTGAGACTCTGGGAGTGCTGCCTGCAGCGTCTGTGGGAACAGCGCCCCCTGGAGTTGGACAGGGGCACGGGTTAGGGGACAGTGCTCGGCCTCGGCCCTGGTCCGCACCCCCAGGTCTTCTTCTACCACCTGTGTCCCAGCCACCTCTCCCAGGCCAGCCGACCGGCCGGCTGTCAGAAGCAGGCAGAGAACGTGATGCTTAATGAGGTTACCTGCCTCATTAAGAAACAGATGCAAAACAGCAGCTTCTAGAACACCCGTGGAAACTTAAAGCCCCGGTCGATAAAGGGGACAAAGCGGGTCTCGGGCACCGGGGAGCTGGGAGGTCTCACCCAGCTGCCCAGGGGTCCGGCCCACCAAGCTCCTTTGGGCCTGCTTGACCTCAGCAGGCAGGGGACCACCTGCCTGCCAGCTGTGAGGTGCAAGGAGGGAGCCCACCTCCCAACCCACCCTCCACCCCGGCTGGACCTGTCAGACTCGAGAGGCTCAGCTCAGAGACCGGGGCCACAGGGGGCCTGAGAAGAGCAGGGGTAGCCATCCTCTCTGCCAGGGGCCCAGGTGGCCTCCCTGGCCTGTGTCGGGGGAGGGCCTTGGCATCATCAGAGCCCTCACCTGTGTGCAGTGTTCTGACATGCATCAGCCGACCTGCCTTCCTGGTCACTCTCCAGGGAGGGCTGACAGATGGATACTGAGGCCCAGAGAGTGACCGAGTATGTCCAACACCATGGAGCTAACGCGTGACCAAGCCAGACTCCCAGGCCCGTCCTCTCCCTGCCTGCTGCAGGTTCCAACAGCCATACCCCAGGCCCAGGAGCAGCCCTGCTTATCCCTGGTCCCTGGGGCCTGGGGTCAGTGCGCCCCAGTGTTCAGGGTCGGGAAGAATCTGACAGCAGGGGGCGCTCCAAGCCTGGACATCAGACCCAGTACAGGACTCAGGGCAAGACCACTGTGTGTGTGTTTTTTTTAACCTACTCTCCTATTGATAGACATGCGTCGTTTCCAGTTGTACCTACTATGAACATTCTTTTACCTGCTTCCTAGAGAACACATCCATGTGTTCAAGTATCAAAAGTAGATTTACAGGAGGCTTCCCCTTGGGGCTCAGTTTTCCCATCCATACAATGGGAACGGCACCCGCCCACAGGGCAAGAGCTGGGCGTGAGGGCGCATCAGAGGGCGGAGGGCACTGGGCCATCCCGCGGGCCCACCTGGTGTTCAGCAGCTCGATCTCCGTGCTGCGCTCCCGTTCCAGCTTGCTGTAGGCCTCACGGTGGCGCCGAACCTCCTCCTCCAGGGCCTGCTCGGCCGTGGTCTCCTGATCCTTCACCATCTCCTCCAGTTCATGCACCCTGAGGAGAGGGGCAAGGACTCCAGTGCAGGGCAAGCTCCTGTGGCCTGACTCCCCTCCCCCCAACCCAGGCTGCGACCACCGGGAGCCCCGGACCCCAAGACCCTGACACCCCGACTGTGGGCCGGCAGCTTTGCTGACAGATGAACGAGGGACCCCACAGCAACTAAGGAGAGGTGTGCCAGCCACACCCGCCACCGGAGCTGGGAGCGGGCGGCCCTGGCAGTTGAAGGGGTTCTGCCAGGGTGGGCACAGAGAGGGGCGGCCTCACCACAGTGGATCAAACAGCCCTCAGGCCTCACCTACTCCTTTTGCTCCCTTCCTTCCCGGCTGGTCCCCCCCTGATCAACAGCTCAGCTCACTGGGCACCCTGACCGCAAAGACAGGCACATCCTGGCTGGTGGTGAGCCTGCCAGAGCCGGGTAAGGCCAGGCCCCACTGTGGACATCGTAACCCACTACTGGCGGCCTGGTCGGTATATCAGTGTGGGGCACCTTTCACTGGCAACAGCCCCTCCATGGAGCTGAACTTCTGGGGTGTACAAGAGGACTCATCTTTGGGCCCTACGAGGTTGAGGACCAGACCCTGGACGGGGATCAGTTTACCAAGTTTTATGCCGTCCTGTGAGGACTACACCATACACGCACCACCGCACTGAGTCACGTTCAGTGGGCCTCTGTTGGGCGGAGGGCGCAGCAATGCCTGGACCCTTCCCCACCGGTGGCAGGTGTGAACCCCCAACTCGCACCAGCCTCTCCCTCTGCAGAGCTTGTCCCCCAGAAGGGAGGTCAGGCTCTCATCGTTGTGGGACAGAGAGAGACAGGAAATGGATCCCAATTCTTCCCTTTCACCCGAGCTGGGGCTGCAGACCTGGGGGGCCGAGGTCAAGCTCTGCCTGTCTCCCTGTCCCCAAAGACCTGTCCTCCTGGGCGCCCAGCGTGGGCAGGGCCCACAGCCAGGGGCTGACGTATCACAGACCCTCAGAGCTACAAGGACCTGCAGGTTACCCCCCCCCCACACCTCACTCCTCCCAGCTTCTCCTGGGGGCTCAGCACACGGCCCACCCTCCGCGCCCGCGTCCCAGCCAAGGCCGGGCCTCACCTGTGCACCAGCTGTGTGTTCTCCTGCTTCAGCTTGCTCTTCAGGTCCCCGTTGCTCAGGCTGTCATTCTCCAGCTCTGTCACCTTCTTTTCCAGAAAACTCACCTACCGTAGGGGGGCAGGGGTGGCGTGGAGGAAACCTCTAAGCCCACAGGACTGAGAACTTAGTGGGACTGACGGCTAGGGGCCCCGCATGACCATGAGTGAAGAGTCGTGCCGGGACGTGCCCGTGTGATCGGGGCCACCTGTCCCCGACTCCTGGGCAGGGACAGGGTCTCCCAAGTCCCCAGGCAGCCGTCAGGAGCCCCTCCCCCCACCCCCGGGGCCCGCCCAGGCCCACCTTCTCGGTGATGTCGTTGTCGCAGGAGTCGATGCTGTCCCGGAACAGGTCCTCGGTGCTGCCGTTGCTGCTGCTGAAGTTGCTGCTGTGCATGAGCTGCCTGCGCACGGTGGGGGAGGCATGTCTGGCTGCAGACTCGGGCTACGGGCTGGGGGAGCGCCCGGGACCCCAGGGAGGGTGCCCTCACCCAGTCAGGGGAGCAGAGTGGCCTGACTTCTGAACTCAAGAGATCATTCTGCTCTGAGGACGGCAGACGGGGCTCCTGAGCCCCAGCAGACATGGCCGATCCATCAGAGCCCTTTCCTGCTGCGTCAGTACGCTGTGCACACCGGTGTTCCAGCCAGCAGCTGCCACAGACCAGAGCTGGTGGAGGAGCCCCCCCACCCCTGGCCCCTTCCACCCGGAAAACCGCCCCGTGCAGGCAGCCTGGTACCACAGCCCCGGCAGAGGGCCTGGGCCGCCTGAGACCACCCAGCCGGCTCCCGCTACATCTCTGGGGACCCAGGTGGTGGGCAGGGGGAGGGAGACCCTCCCAGGCTTTGCAGGACGGTAGGACGGTGGGTCGGTGGCTGGGACTGGAAACGGGCACTGCTGTCCAGGTAACTCTTGCCTGAGGCAGAACCCAGCCGCTTCCCCCTCCCAGCCAGCAGCCAGGGTCTCAGCCAAGAGACTGTCCCACCACAGTTCCTGGACACTTTGCTGGCAGCTCCCAGAGCCCCGGGTGTGGAACTGGGGCGAGTCTGCAGGAGAGCGGGCGCGGGACCCTGGCAGGCCCAGGAGGTCAGCTGTGCAGGATTTAACCTGGAGCAGAGGGACCAGCTCCAGTGGGGACACTCACGCCCCATCCCTGCCAGCGGGAAGCCCAGGGCCTCTGCTGGTAGAGCTGCCTGCTCCGGAGCCCAGGGAAAGGCACCGGCAGCCGTGAGGGCAGCTGTGTCTCTCAGGGCACCCCTGGTGTGCCTGCCTGAGGCGGGGGCAACGGAGGGCTTGGAGAGGCCGCCCGCTGCCAGAAGGGGCAGAAGGGACGAGGGATGGGGGTGGCAAGGAGGCCGGCCCCGCTTTCTCGCAAGTGGAGCTTCCTCTGCCTGCCCTGCCTGGGACGCCTCACCCGCTCTGCACGTGCAGACGCACGCAGGGCACTGGCTGGGTCTGGGCTGCTGGCACGGAGTCGGCCACCCTGTCAGCAGGAGTACGGTGAAAGGGGACAGCGTTCAACCCGCGCTACCCCGAGGGAGGCCTTACCGTCCAAAGGCTGTGCTAGAGATCTTCCGGTTGGGGCTAGAGAGAGAGAGTGGGGTGGGGGGAGAGAGGGGGAGAGACGGGGAGAGAGAGGAAAGGATGGTTGAACAGAGAGGCCTTTAGCCCACTCCTTCCTCTGCCCCGGCTGCAAGAGATCACAGTGCGGGCGAGGCTTCTTCCTGCCCTCACTAATCAGCTTGGCCCTGAGAAGCAGCCCCCGATCACCTGCCAGGACAGAGCGGGGCCACCTTCCCCGCTGCTTCTCCCTCTGGTCCCCACCCCCCCCGCCCCTATGCTGGGCCCCGGGGCCTCACCTGTTGGCCTTCAGGTTTTTCAGCCGGGCTTCCAAATCATTGAGCAGGTTGATTTTCTTGCAGCACTGAGAGCAGTAAACATCCAGCAATTCGCTGTTGTACGCGTGCCGCATCTTCCTAGGCGTCTGCCCCGCGCTGGGTCATGAGAGGGAAAGAAATCACCTTCTGAACTGCTGTCCAGTCTGGTGCCCTGCCCCGTCCTGCCGAGCTTATGACTAGATTCTCCAAGACCTGTGAGCCTTGTGTGTGTGTGTGTTTGGGGGTGGGGGGGGTGGGGAGTGGAAGTACAGCAATAGATCTCCCTCCTCCAGCGCTCTCAAAGAGAGGAAGCCAATGAGCTGCACCCATTTCACAGAGAAGGCAACTGAGAGCTAAGGTCAGAGTAATGACTCAGCTGCGCGGAACGGTACCAATATGCCACTTGGAGCCTTCGGCCTTCCAGGTTGGTTGTGTTTCTTCCCCAAGACAGATGGAAGGAGGAATTCCAGACCCCCAATCAGAGTGCAAAGGCAGAACCCCCCCCCCCCCCCCCCCCCCCCCCCCCCCCCCCGCCCAGTACAGGAGCAGAGCCCAGTTAGCTCAGGACTCCGCCAGCTGAACCCCCGCTAGGACGAGGCTGGACCGGTTCTGCCACTTTTCCTGGACCCCGAATGCCACTCCAGACCAAGGGGCCACCTGGAGGACACCGACGACCCCAGGTCCGAGTAGACGTTGGTCCTGGTCTCGTCGTCGGGGCAGGGGCTGCCGGGGGCACAGTCCACGTCGTCCGCCTCCCCGTAATCCTCGAACTGCTCCTCGTTGCTGATGAGTGACGTGCTGGAGTGCGTGGAGAGGTCCGACGTGGTCACGGACGGAGTGTGGCCCAGGGACCTGAGCGTAAGACAAGGGTCGGCTGTGAACGAGGCGCCACCAGAGCCTGCGGGGCCCAAACTGGCCACACCTTCCAGGAGGTCCATGGGCGCCAAGATACCAGGAGCCTGATGAAGCCTGTACTTCTTGGCCTGGTCAGCACACTCCAGGGACCTTATCCTAAGGGAAACACCTCACCACAGAAAAGGTCTCTGCGCGAGAGATGTTCAAACCGACGCTGCCCTAGAGCAGCCAAACATTGCTTACAACTTAATGGTGTATGGACAGCTACACTGAACTAGCTGTTAAATTATACTGTATGTCAGTAAATGAAACGGTCACATAAATTATGGACTCTCAAATCACTGTGGATAGGTTTGTAAAAAACGCTGGCAGTAATGTGGAAAAATTAAAAGCGAAAATTTTTTTTGATTGAAAAACGTTCTAAAAATTAAAACGAAACTTAAAAAAATTATTTTGAAGTTTTAAAAATTAAACTAAAAGTTAGATATAAAATTTTAGACATAACAAGTCTAAGCATGTAAAGGGTCTACACAGAAGAAGGTAAAGCAGGAAATAAAAATATTTAAATGGGGCTTCCCTGGTGACGCAGTGGTTGAGAGTCCGCCTGCCGATGCAGGGGACACGGGTTCGTGCCCTGGTCCGGGAAGATCCCACATGCCGCGGAGCGGCTGGGCCCATGAGCCATGGCCGCTGAGCCTGCGCGTCCGGAGCCTGTGCTCCGCAACGGGAGAGGCCGCAGCAGTGAGAGGCCCGCTTACCGCAAAAACAAAACAAAAACGAAAACAAAAAAACAACAATGAGCCAGTAGGCAGGATGCTTCTCCTAATGCACAGAGCGGATTTCTAGTCCAAAGAAGCCTAAGGCCACAGAACACAGGTCAGAGACCCCAGGCCTCTCACGGGTGACCCAGTGTGGCCTGGGACAGAGTCAGTGGCTGGCTGAACCCTGTCTAAAACCTAAGAACAAAGAAGTACAACTAACTAACTCATCACCTGCCAAAACATATCTTCCCTCGAGTGGCTGCCCAGCAGCTTCTGTGTATCCTTACTCGTAAACTGGGATCTCTCCAACCTGCTGACAAGCCTGTGCACTCAAAGAATGGGAAACAGTGATTTTCAAACTGTGCCCCTGAGGAACCCTGGTTTCCATCTAAGAATCACAGCGTTAACGATAGGGGCTGAAGATCAAGGCTCTGGGCATCTCCACCTTATTTTATTTATTCACTTATTTATCTGTCCTTGGGCTCCTTAGCACCTCGGGTTGAATTAGTCACATTCCTCGCTGCTTTCTCCTGTAAATTTCACTAAACCTCTCGGCACCGCCGCTGGCGGCCTCCTGGTGACTGGCCCCAGGCAACAACGGCAACCATCAGGTGGCAGGTGATCAGCCATATGACCAGCTGTCCTTGGCCTGGCTGGCCGCCAGTGCAGCGGAGGGACCGCCCCCGGGAAGCAACACGGATGAACAGCTCCAAAGGGCCCCTCCTCGACAGTGGGATTCCCAGAGACCCTTGGGTTTGCGAACCCCTGCACTGAGGAAATATACTAGGCTGAAACATATGAACTTGCCTTTTTCTTGAAGGTCGAACATGATTAAAAATCGACAATTTCGTACGGTAAGATTGACACCGGAAGCCCTCTCCTCCCTCTCCAAATCTCCGGCCGTGACCGTCACCTTCTCCCGACAAGTGGAGCTCCAGGCAGTTTTAACTCACTTGTCCTCTGGAAGGAACAGGCCCCCGAGCCCTGCCTCCTTCTCCTCGGCGGGAATCCCGACCGGCCCCTCCAGGCTCCGGCTGTTCTCCGTGGGGCCGTCCATGTCCGACTCCTGGGGGCCCTCGGGCGGGGCCAGCGTCATGGCCTCGTCCTCATCCACAGGAAAGAAGCCGGACTCCCTGGGGAGGAGCTCGCCATCAGCAAAGGTGGGGTCTGGCACCTCGCTGCCCTGGGGAAGACAGAGGGGGGCAGCGCGAGTGAGCCTGGCTCCCCGAGGCGCAGCACCGCTCCTCAGACCGCAAGGACGCCAGCAGGGCCGGGGACGGCGGGGACGGCGGGGACGGCGGTGCCGGGAAGCCCAGACACGGAAACCTCGGGTGTGAGACCCTAGCAGATGATTCACCTCGGGGACCTCTCGTGCAAGGCCAGTGAGGGGTGGGAAGCTCCGGGACAGCCTTCCGTGGAGAAGGGCCACAGCCAGGCCAGCTGCACCATCCAGGGCACCTGGGCCGCTTGGCAGGGTCCCCAACACAGAGTCTGCACAGGAAGCCAAGTGACCCCGGGGAAGCTTCTTGGGGCACAGCCCCTTTCTAATGACAATGACAATGACTCTGGCCTAGCAGAGCTTGATGCGGCATGATACGGGGACTGCCCACCATGGGGTCTGCCCCCCACGGTTCTGGGCATGTCAAATAGCATCTCTGAACCTCAGTTCTGTAAGTTGAGAATGGCGATGGAATCTTACAGAGGGATCTCTGTGTCACAGCAGGACCTCAGTGGATAAGTCTAGGCCACAGATCTGCCCCGGCCCTGTCACAGCCAAGCTGGGGAGCAAGAATTCTAGGTCTTTCAAGTCTGAGCTTTGGACTGGTCCTCGGTGCCTAGCACCCTGCCCGGCAATGTCAGCGCACCATAAAGATTTGCCCAAACCTTTTGCTAAAACCATCTTACAGGAGAAGAGCTCTGGCTTTATTCAGGGTTTACCTAGTCCGAGAGAGGCATATCTCTACAAACCATTTCTCGGGGCTGCTTTGCCCCTGAGGAGGTGGGAACCTTGGAGGTGACAGCCTCCACCTGCTCCCACCGGAGATGTCAACTATTCCCCAGGTTCTTCAGCGTGCTCCTTAGCTAGGGCTGGCAGGGTCCCCGTTAAAGGTGCGTCCTCCAGCCCCAGGACCACAAGAAGAGTAACAGTAACAAGGGCTGTGAAAAGCCTCGGGGCATCTCAGACAAGAACAGGATCAGGGACATCCAAGGAAGGTGGTCAGCGAGCGGCTTGGCTGTGCCCACCCAGACGTGTGCAGCTGTCCAGGGGGTCTGTCCCCACCAAGACACACGCCAGCGCTAAGAATAGACGGCGGTTAATGAGCTTGGCTCCTGCCTGTGCCATGACTCGGGCTGAGCACCAGATGGACCAATAAAGCCGGCAGCAGGCAGCCAGGAGCCTCTGACTGTGGAGGCCGAGGGGCTGTGTAATTAAACTCCCCCCTAGTGTCCACGCGGCCCTTTGCACCTACATGGCACTAATCAATCCCACACAGCTCCCAACCTTATCAAATCTTGTGTCCTAAGCGAGCTCTTGTCTACAAGCCCGAAATTGTCCCAGTAGAAAAGAAAGGGAAACCAACATTTACAGAACCACCACCGAGTTCTGGAGACCGAGCTAAGGGTTAATATACTACCCTATTTGGGCTTCATGACCCTTCAGGACAGGGATTCCCATCCCTATTTTACTAACGAGGAAGTCAAGGCTCAGAGAGTTACCTGCCAGAAGTCCACTGGCCAGTAGGCAGAGGGTCCCACCTGCCTCTGGCCACCGCTGGCTTGGTTCCATTTATCACTGACGCAACCCACGCTTCACGGATTTTCAAACCCCATGGTGACCATGAGGAGAGACACATCACAGGAACACATTACTAACTATGAAGCCCAGGCGCTCCGCCTAATGCTGCGACTTCCACGTGCCGCTCCCTTCCTGCCCCCAGCAGGGAATGTCCGGGCTAGTGGGTGGTGACCCGGAGAGAGGCCCTCCATGGAGAGCTGGGGCTCGTGGAGAAGCAAGGCGTGTGCTCTGTTCCTCCACCTGTAGCTTTTCGCCCTCCCAGACACACGGCAGGGCAAAGGCAGCACTGGCTGAGAGTCCCTGCTCTGTGGCTCACAAGAGGGCTTGGTCACTTTGCAAGTGGGTGTTTCTTCTCCTCTTCACAGCCCTGAGAGGTGAGTCTCCTTCCCCCTCTGTGTAGGGAGGTGAAGTGACTTGCTTGGGGCCACGTGGGAGTCAGTGGCAGGGCTGGGACTGGCCTGTGAGTCACCAACGCCCATGCTTTCCCCCGGAACCGCGTCAGCAGGGGTCCGCAAGAGGCTGCCACCCACCCTGCCCCCAGAAGGCAGGCAGGGGGCCAAGTGGAGCCCAGCACCTGTGATTAAGCATCTGGCTTGGCTTCTGGCCAACTCACGTCTGCCTCACTGGACACTGAGATACGGAGGCCGCGTTTCTGCCAGGCACTCTGTCCCAACACCCAACCCATGGTACACAGGTGGGGACCAACCCCCTCACCTGAGGTCCCACAGCGACATACCCATAACTCCTGACACCTGGCCCAAGGCCCTGCCCAGGGTGGAAAGAGTGGTCTCGAGTGGCCTATCTCAGCCACAGCAGGGGCAGCAGGAGGGGTCAGACACCCCACAGGGGTCCCTCCCTCCCAACTAGACCAACACCTCCTGGGCATATTTTTACCCTCTGACTAAGCAGAGTCCACACCTGCCCGGCCCTTCACACTTGACAAAGCATCCTGTCTGTCTCCCACACACACCGTTCAGCTCTCACAGCAGCCCTGGGAGAGCTCCGGGGAGTGTACAGGGCAGGATGAAGGATTCATCTTCTCCATCTGACACTCAGGGAAAATGAGACTCGGAGAGGGAGGGGACTGCCTGGAACTTCCCGGCTACAGAGGGACCTGAGACCTGGAGCCAGGCTCCCGACGCGCCAAGTCCCAGCCCCTCACTCACCCCGACACCCCCCCTCTGCTACACACGTATGCACACACGCTCTCGACATGCCAGCCTTTTTTCTCTTAAAAAACGGCTGCTCTCCCTACGTCTGCATCTCTTCATTCAAGCCACAACTGGTTGCCCAAGGCAAGTGGAAATTTTAACTACAACTTCAAAACCATTTCTAGTGCAGACGGTCCTCCAACTTACAGTGGCTCGACCTACGATTTTTTTTTTTTTGCGGTACGCGGGCTTCTTACTGTTGTGGCCTCTCCTGCCGCAGAGCACAGGCTCCGGACGCGCAGGCTCAGCGGCCATGGCTCACGGGCCCAGCCGCTCCGCGACATGTGGGATCTTCCCGGACCGGGGCACGAACCTGTGTCCCCTGCATAGGCAGGCGGACTCTCAGCCACTGCGCCACCAGGGAAGCCCTCGACCTACGATTTTTTGACTTTACAATGGAGTGAAAGTGATAGGCATTCAGTAGAAACTGTACTTCAAAGTTGGAATTTTGCTCTTTTCCCCGGCTAGCGATGTGTGGTCTGACACTCTCCTGATGCTGGGCGGCCGCAGCTCCCCGTCGCCACCCGATCACGAGGGTGAACCACTGATGTGCTTACAACCATTGTTTTTCACTTTTGGTGCAGCGTTCAATCAATTACGTGAGCTGTTCAACACTTAATTTAAAAATAGGCTTTGTGCTGGGTAATTCTGTTTAAGGTATTCTAGGCGAAGTTATGTTTGGTAGGTTAGGTGTATTAAATGCATTTTCCACTTATCGATACAACAGGGTTACATCCCACTAAGATCTGTAGTTTCCCCCCCCCCCAATTTAAATAATATAAAGACAGCTATAAGAAAAGTAACTAACTGTATACCTTGGTTAGTCTGGGATGGTACCACTTTGGCTTTTTTCCTGGACAAAAGTGGCCCTGTCACCCGTGCTCCTTCCTGGGGGCCTGGGTCCCAGCCCAGCTTCCACTCTCCCTGGCCCGCCAGGGAAGGGCTGAGTGTAGCATGGGGTGGGGTGGGGAGGCAGCGCTGCTGAGGTTGGGGGACAGCCTGCTCTGATCCCAGACAGCTCAGGAAGGGAGGCAAGCAGGGATGGCTGCTGGAAGGTGCTGGAAGGCAACCTCTCACTCCACCTGGAGCCATCATTCCCTGGCTGGGAGAACCAAAGTCACAACAGAAACCCTTCTGAGCCAGTTTCTTTTATATTTTTTAGATAAAGTTACAGAGGAAGAGGAAGAACTCATCCATAATAAAAGTACCGTCCTCACGGGGTTTCCAGGAGGCCTGGGAAGATGCTGCACCTGACAGCAGGGGCTTCCTGAGGCCCAGTTACCCTCCAGTCAGGGCCCTGGGCTGGTCGGGGCCCCCACGGAGCCCCCGTGTCACATGTGCTGCCGTGAAGAGGAAGAACTCTGGGGAATGTGCAAGAGCTAAAGAGTAATCTGCCTGGCCTGGGCGTGGTGAGGCAGATTCTCCTGTCGCTGCAAGGTTCCAGAGTTCCCAGACAAACCCCTGGCCGATTCCGGACAGCAGGAAACTGGGCTGCGGCAGCCCCGGGATGGAGCTGGGGGAAGGTGGGGGGAGAAGGAGGACATCGCTCCACGGGGCACCTCCTGCTCGTGGGTACTTCTAGGCCGAGAGCCCCGAGAGCTGCCAGCCCGCCCCAGGCCCCCTGGTCCACATCCAGACCTCCCTCCGCAGCAGCGAGCTCCTCGGGCGTCAGAAGACGCCCGGTGGTCCCGGATCCTAGGCCTGCTCTGGAGGGGTGGCAGGATCAGAGGAGTGGGTAATGGGATTTCACAGAAAAGGGGGTGCCTGAGTTTTTGGGGGGGCCTTTAGGGAAGGGACCGTGTCCTCAGCAGGTAGCTCCAGGCAACATCTGTGGGTGACCCACGTCCCCAGGGCTCTGTTCCTCAGGACCCAGAGCCAGTCCTGCACATGGAGCTCCCTGTGCCGCCAAGGCCACATGGGCGTAGCTGGCATACGTCCAGCGCACTCCAGGGCACCTGGAGGGGCCCCAGGACACCCCTGTGAGTGGGGCTGGGTGGCAGTGCTGCTCTGCAGCCTGGCAGACTGGGTGTTTAGTCCTGGCTGGCCCGGCCACTCACAAGCAGTGTGACCTTGGGCACGTGACCTCTGAGCTCCTGACTCCTTACCTACAGAATGGGGACAGTTACTCCTACCTCAGAGGCTACTCTAAGGACCACACGTGACAATTTTCACGGG